TCATGCGTTGTACCAGTATGAAAGAATTCAGGAAGTCGTCGCTTACGATTTCTAACGTTCCAATTTCATAACAGCTTGATACCCATTACAAAGCCAACTAGTGGTAGTCTTTTAAATGAAACTTTAGTTCAAACTTTTTCGTTATACGCCCCTTCTACTTCAGTGTTGCCTAAACCTCAGTGCGCTGGTGCTTTGTGTTTGTCACTCCTTGTGCTCCCACTAGTTGACCTATCAATAGGTTCATCCGCTGCCAATAGCAAACTGCAATTTCTATCTCACTTCCCGTTTTTTCGCTTTTGTCAGTGGAAAAGTGTGGCGTGAAGTCAAGTGTTGAGGCAACTAACAAACAAAGGCAGTCAGCTGCCACTTTATCCATCCGCCACTCAATGGGTCTATGCTGAAGATATCAAAGTTATCTCGCTGCTCCCGAGTTCCGCCATTGGCATTCAAGTATTTTAGTTGAAAAAGTGCGGAGAAATTAAATTCGCCATCACCACCATGCATTGGCACTCTCACGAGAGCAAGTGTTGTGAAATTAATGGAGAAGCGTAAGCTTTGTGGTGGCGCTACTATTGACAGGCTTCTAATTAATTTGCCACAACATCCTGGCTTTTCGTTTAAACTCTGGAGTATGGCTGCATGGGAAAGGGTGCCAGTCACACTTGACACGTGAGGGCGTGATAGAGCATGTCACTGACAATTAGGCATGTCACAAGTACACTTAGGTTGTGCTTAGATATCACAAACACAACATAATTTTACACTTTACGTTTGGATTAGATCGGTTTATTGAGTTTTTTGTTGTTATAGTTATTAAGAATACAATATCTGTTGGATTTAAAATACTTAGTAATTATACTTGTCACGAATAGTAAAAATAAACTTGAAGCTGCTTTTCTAATTTATCTTGTGTATCTACTAATAGTTTGTGTAGCGATTCTAACCATGTCTTGACATATTCATATGACAGTAAAGAGCGATATTCAATGTCTACTTAGTTGTACTTGTTGACACTGTATGTTACACCTATTTGTAAATGTAAATCGATATATACAATATAAATGATGAACGAGACGAACTGAGTCGATTTATTTATGCCCGTTTGTCTGTATAAACGCGAACTAGTCCCTCGGTTTTTGATATATTCAACTTAAAAATGGCACACGTCCTTTTCTCACCAAGAAACTCAAGTTCTTTTATGGAAAACATCTGCTGTATAAAATATAATATATATCATCGAATTCAAAAAAAAAAAAAAAAAAAAAATAATAATAATAATAAAATGGTAATCTCGCCATTTTTTACTAGCACACATATCATATCCCCTACATTCTTCGCATTTTTTTTATTTTTTGTGCCAGAAACAAAGAAATCCAAGCACATTTGCATATCACTCAGTCACTTCACTCTAGAAAAACTCACATCCATCGTGTCAAAGCAAAGCATTGTTGTACCGAATTTCGGCTAAATCCACAAACAGTTAATGAAATTACACATGCATAGGGCAACGAATGGCTTTTAAGATGGAACGAAGATAAAATTGATACGGAGTAAATAACATTAGTATAGAGCGAGATTTGTCAGCATTTGTTGTGCCAAAGAATAACTGCAAAAACACACTCACAACCGAACAAAATACATATTCATGTGTGTGTATGTATGTTTGTAAGTCATGCCTTGAAGAATACTTTATAAGCGCGAAGACAGCAAGCCATCTACAAACCGGAAATAGGAGTAATTCATTTACCAGCAAAGAAAAGTAGTTAGGAAAATAAAATGTGCGAAGAGATGAAGCAGCTGGGTATTATGTTCTTATATGGTAGTATGCTGCTCCAGGAACTGCTCAACGTTAAAGGATATTAATACTTTACTCGCAGGCAAAACGCAATTTATTTTAGTTTTGCTTTCACTTCACTTCGCTTGTAATATGTTAGGGAATTTTTCATAGTTTCTCAAGCTACTCGACAGACTTGCTTGACTTCAAAGTGAAGCATATACAACTGTATATACAATATCGTATGCATATATACATATATTATATAACTGCACTTATGTAAATGTCCACTACTGCTGGCAACTTTCTCGGCAAAACTTGACGGTGATTACACATGTTTACACATATAACCGTTACTTGAACTGTTACGGAAAAGTTAGCTTCTCATTTTAAATACTCTAGACACTTGACACTAGACTTGATGCTTAGTGGGCCGCTAAGCTTTATCCCACACGAAAATGTACATATGTATTTGTTGCATATGCGCCGCATGCATAAAACATGTTCATATGGTCACATCTTAACCGCTGAAGATGTTCCACAAGTAAACTTTTCCATATTTCGGTCCCAGTTGTATGCTCATTAAAAATTTCATAACCTAGATTTCGTTCTTCCTTCCGCTACTTGGTCACGCACAGTGCGTCTTAAATTATGAGTTAATGCTGGTGCACAAGTGAGACGCTTAGTTGATTAAATGCGCACGGTAAATTGTTATCTGAGAAATATTTTTTTTATTTTAAAATATATTTTTTAGCCAGTTTCCAAAATGTCTTTGTTTTTTTTGGTATAACATTCTCTTAGCTTTAAACTTGAAAAATTAAAACAATCACGTCAAAAACCAGTGATGTTTCATAAACACTCATGAAACATTTGTATAACGTGAAACTTCTTGAATTTGGTTTTTATTCTTCATTTTAAAGTCTTGAAATCAAAAAGAGACCTATAAACGGCCGTTTGTATAACTATTATTTTTATTTTTTATGGCATCTGAAATAAAATACACCAGTAGTTAACTAGAATTTTAACTAGTTTTTGTAAATTTGTATAAAGCAGTTTAATTAAAAAACCCAACTTTCAACTACATATATAAAAATTAATCCTTTACCAATAAAGAAAAAATAATAATAAAAATAAATAATTTGACTCACCCTATCTTTCTACTCCAACAGTATCAGCGGAAAATATTTTACTCGACACCCAAACTTCACAGCAATCATTAACCCGAAACTTCATGTGCCACGCACTTTGATTTGCCTCACCGACCTCCTCCTTTTCAACAACAACGCAATACATCGCTGTAATTCGAATTAGAATTTCGCACAGATCAATTAGGTGAAGATTAATTATCAACACTTCAATGCTTGTAACACTTTCGTGTTTCCTGTCTTGCTGATTAATGCACTTAATTTAACACATTAATATTTTAATTTCACATTCCATGACAGCAAACCAGCGCAACACGAAAACTACACGTTTAACCCACAACGTTGCCAAATCAAAACTAATCAAACGGAACTTCCTACTGGAAGTGACAAAAGAAGGAGAGAAGAAAATGGAGGTCAAATAATACACCATTCAACTAGTTTATACGTATATATGAGTTAATGTATCTTTCTTAGCATACTTTCAGGCACAACTTGAACAAAAGGTTTGTAACAATATTTATTTTTCAACTAGCTAGAGCCTAAAAGCATGCTGAAGTAGTTTACAAATTTGTAAATTATATAATTTTTCCAGGTTATGACTTACATTCAAATGTCATCAGTAATATCTTACCAGATGCGCTTCCAATAGGAGGAAGAATACGAGGAGCTTCCAGGAAGCTCGGTCAGTTTAGCTGTCTGGTTTGGTCGTCTAATCAAATCGTAAGTTTTATATTCTCTTCTTTCTTATATTCTGAATGGGGTATATTAAGCTTGCCACGATGTTCGTAACATCCAAACGGAAATGTCAGTGACCCTATAAAGTATATGTATAAAATGATCAGCGTGACGAGCTGAGTCGATTTAGCCATGTCCATCTGTCTGTATATGTTATACTCTTAATTTTTGAAATGTCGATCTGAAATTTTGCACACGCCCGTTTCTCCTCAAGAAACTGGCCATTTGCCGGAACCGCTGAAATCGGACCATTATAGCATATAGCTGCCGTATGGCAGCTGAAGTTAACGTTATTTCTTGTTGTGTGAAACTTAATTATTTATGTGCTAAATTAATTGAAATAATTAGCATGAAAGTGAATATGAAAGTGCTGTAAGTGGTTTAGTGATATTAGTCGACCATAATATATGCCCAATGTTAATCCAAATTATAAATGTAAACCTTCAAAATTGAAAATATATATACATGTATTTATACCGATTAGTCTATAATACCAGCAGTGTTCTATGAATATTTAAACAAAATAAGAATTTTTATGAAGTATAGCAATTACCTTACAAACACCTTTATATTGAAATTTTATCCTATCTTTTACATTTTTCGATAATTAAAATTCCTAGGGTATCTTTTTGTAAGCGTAAATTTAGTAAAATTCTTTTTTCTATTTGTATAATAAGCATTTATACGTTCCCAAAACTTCGTTTTTAATGCCTTATTGCCAACAAAACCGCATTCCGAAAAAGAAAGTTCTAATAAAACGACAGAATTATATTTTGACCTTATAAATATACCATCAACGACAGATCCTTTTAAATGATATACAGCAAAATCATATGAACTAACTTTGTAGTTGTTTTCTCTTCCTACTAGGAGAAAATTAGTTGAAAAAAGTTTTATACAGAAGATCATACATAGCAAATGTTCGAAATGCTGATTTATGGACATAGAAGTCAACGGTTGTTGTTCGAAAAGAGTCATGAAGATAGAACAGGTGTTCAAAAATGTGTGGGAAATAAAGCCAAGAAGTTTGTAAGATCTTCCAAATATTTTCTTTATAATCCGCCATGTATTACTTTATATATATATATATTATATTTTGAAATTTGTAACGGTTTCGAAGTACATATTTTACACAATTCTTCATACAACCTACATAACTATTCTAACACGTCTGTCGGGTCCGCTAGTTTCAATATAAAACTCGTTCTGGCTTTTAGGTTGGTATCTGATATAAGCCTTCTGATTTCGCTTGTAACCATTTTTTAATTAAACTCGCCTTTACGCTTCCGAAAGCTTGCTCTCCAAAACTAAAATTCTAAAATAACAAAGAATTACGCGGTAAAAAATTTTAAAATGCACATATTATTTATTGATCAAGCTTTTAAGTATTTCCACATGACGACACCACTCATCTCCACTGTACAAACACTTAAAAATCTAACCATCCAAAAAATTTTTTACATAAAAGTTTATCTACTATATGACACAATTTGTTATGGCATTGGTCTGCTTTGTAGAAATATACGCCTCTATCGAGAGCTATAGAAAGGAAATTTGCGGGACTGCACATCTATTATGTGCGCCTCCTTGTAATTAAACGGAAATTTTAATTTCATTTGAGTTTGTTCCTCCTGTAAGCTCTTGAACATGCAGCGTAGTCTCAAATTTTGCTGTAAAATATCATAAAATAAGATATTTAGAATAATTTGCTGTCATTAACCAAATTTAATTTCAATTTCACCGATTTTATGTAACCTTGATTCCCCGCTGTGCAGGCAATGGGACGGCTAAATTTTAAATAAATATTTGTAGTATATTTATATAAATGAATGTCAATAAATATTAGTATAGCTTACACAAAAAATTTTAACAAAGCCATATTCTTCTGGTTCGTCAGCACTTTCCTCGTAATACGTGACATATATGTTAGCGTGTGGTATTCAACGTACTCAGGTTTAACAGTGCAAAATATGCTTTAAATTCAATGCTAAAATCGTTCGAGTTCAAAAATTTTGATATTTAAGTTAAAGATTTTGCTTATGTATAACTTTTGCTTGAAGAAGAAATAAAGAGAAAATGTATAAGTCATTTTTTGTACATAAGTCAAAAAAACATAACAATAAAGTGTATTTTATATTTACAATGCCTGCTCTTTAATGAGATAGTGTGTGTTATGAAAGTTTTACAGTGCGTGAAGACGATATATCTAAGCTGACGAGGACTCTAAGCCTCAACTACTTATTTAAGGAACTCTCAGGTAGTTCTACTTGCTACTTGCAATGGCCATTTTATCCGAAAAGAAACATCTATATGACTATTAGTTAGATTACAACTGATCTTTAGATATATCATAATAAATATCTATTTTCAAGTATTTCATTTTAAATCTTTATTATCGCCTTCAAAAGAGCTTTCTAAACCAATACAAGCGTACCAACACTGAATCCAATTTTTTTCGCAATGGAATGGCTTTCAGTGCCATCAGCAAAAAAGTGCAGGTCTTTTGGTATGTACTCGTATCTAGCATTAACACATTTCATACCCAAATTATGAACCAAAATGTCTTTAATCAAGCCATTAGACATCTTCTACTATCTTTCTAATAACAACACGACGATTTTCATGCAGAGCTTCTTTAACTTTGTCGATATTAATAAAAGTTATATCCACCAAAGTACTCAACGAGCTACAATGCTGAACTGCTCAGCTCAGTGGCATCAATTTAAGCTACAATTTTATTTCGTTCCTATACATAGACCAGTTAAATAAATATGTTTAAAAATTTCGATAAAACCATTTATCAATTTCACTTCCATGCGCTTTGACATTCCTCCACATCCTCCACGGCGACTTTTTCCAGCTTTTTAATTTTTTGTGCGATTTTTAGAATTTCTCGTTTTATACGATTTTCCTCCACCTGTAAATCCTCGAAAAACTCACGCAAGGTTTGAGTTTGCTATGAATAAAAAACATCAGTTATTGGAATAGTTAACGGTAAAACTTTATAAAATGTTTGGGAGTATATACCTTTTTGACCATATGAAATCGATCTGACTGAGCACTATTTGCTGTGATTCTCTGTCTAAAAAAAAATCAAGGTTTTAAAGTCCAAAAATTCATGCTTGCGAACATATATACATATGCCTTTTTTTTGGTTTAACTTACTGTAGCGCTGTTAGCGCGGACATACGGCGGCGATTTCTCAAGATTTGTTGTTGTTCTGCCGAAAACATTTTACAAAATCATAAGCCAGAAAAAATTTTCACAAAATCCAATAAATATTGTAATTGTAATTGTATGCATACAAATGTTCAAAGATATTTCGAAAACTGATGGGAGCGTCACTGCTAAATTTGTTCGTAAAAAATCATGGTGTAAATATTACACTGTGGTAGAAATAAAAACCAACGAACAAAGATGCACCAGTTTTCTAAAACGTAGATATAATTTTCATAATTAATGCTTGAGAATGAATATAAAGTAGTGTATTACCAGTTGATCTTAAGTATTCCAAGAGCTTGCAACTGTGAACATGATTTGGATTAGTTCATAACGACATAGGAGATTAGTAGATAAATGATGATTTCTAAAAAAGAGAGAGAGAGAGAAATATCAATTAAGTACCTTGAAGCAGTAGCGTATTCTCACTAAGCTTAGCAGATAGTATTCAATTAGAAATGAAAATCGCTGAAAATAAAAAATCACATAACTTCTTAGACTGTGTTCACACGAGGACTCCTTTGTCGCTCAAACCGATTTTGATGGACAAGATACGACAAGGAAAGTTAAGGGTGGCACGCTTTATATTTTTATTCATAACTGTTCGCTGCTACGCAATTTGGCATTCGTTTTCATTTTGAAATTATTTTCATGGTAGGAATAGGGCTCGGTCACTAATTTAGATGTTATTTATTTCTTTTGTATTGTATGTAATATGTTAATGTGTATGTAGAATTTATTTAGGTGAGGGTGAATTAGGATACAAATTAGGTAATCAAAAATATTTTTTTGCACCACAAAGATAAAGCAAGGAAGGAGAATGCAGAAATTAACCGGCTCAAATTTTACTGAGCGACATATGGAGGAGTTCTCAATCGAACGCAGTCTTACTTTTTAAAAGATCTAATCTAAAAATAAGACCTTAAAATATTAAGGCTTCATTCTTGAATAAATCCTAAAGAGAAGTAGATCTCTCTCTCTTTATACATCTCTCTCCTAGAATCAAAGAGTTTTTCCCGTAGAATAACTTCAAATCGGTCTAACAGTGAATGAATTGCTAAATACAAGTCACAAGGAAAGGTTTCACGATAAAATGCTGTATTAAGACATCATGGTTTTTAAATAATTGTAAGAATTTCTACACTGTGTTCTCGGTCTCAGCTCACGTATATGGAAATTTGACAACCAAAATAAAATAATCGACACATGAATTGAAAAAAAGTTCAAAAGAATAATAGAGAAAATTCGTAAATTAAAAAAAAATTAAATAGTAATATATAAAAAATAAAAATTTCGTTTTATAAAAACAAAGTCAATTAAATCAATATGAAATCACCATCCATGGAAGTTGTAAACAATTCCTGCGGCGTCAAAGCTTTCGATGTGCTGCGGTGGGTATTAAAATTAAAACTATAAAAAAAACATATTTCACTTCCTTAATTTACTGAACCGTTTCAACAGACGCCATATTTGCATGATGGGCCAGAGATCGCCGAAGAACGAGGTTAGCAGAGTGAGTGTGACTTTATAAATTTTTTTTGTAATATATACTTGCTCGCAGCCTCGCAAGATGTTGGTGAGGATGTGCCGGAAGCTGTTGCGCGAAGAGAAGCGCATTGTGAAGCGAATCACTCAAATTGAGCGTGAAATCGTTTTATTCGAAGCGGAAGCGGCTATACGCAGACAAAAACCGACACTCTAAGGGTGAAGTGTTAACAGTAGCGTAATTAATTTTCTAAAGATGTAGCTAATAGACAAGGCGGTGTATGGCTTTTTGTAAAAATATGTATTTGGTTGCTTAAAAAGTTTATTAAACAAATTTGCTGTAAATTCAAAATTATGCTTTCGATGAGAATTTTTATAGCAGCTTATTAAATATTATTGTGGCCATTTTAATAGTGGAGAGTAATTAGGCAAAAATAATTAATTATTACTTTAACATGACTCTGTTGGATTTTTATAACCTGAAGAGGGTATAATAAGTTTGCCGCGATGTTTGTAACACCCAAAAGAAAACGTCGGGGACCCTATAAAATATATATATCTAAATGAACAGCATCATAAGCTGAGTCGATTTAGCCATGTCCGTATGTCTGCCTGTATATGCGCGAACTAGTCGCTCAGTTTTTGAGATATCGATCTCAAATTTGGGCATGTTTTTTTCTCAACAAGCAGTTGCTCATTTGCCGGCATCGTAATCCTTGTATGAAAACTTCGTTATTTGTGAAGGGTATTCAAGCTACGGTGCAAACGAAGTTAACGTTTTTTCTTGTTTAAGGAACTTTGTATTTACTATAAAGTCAGTAAGGTATTAATCAAAGTTTGGAAAAGTCTGCGAAAGCTTCACTGCGTTGTTTTAGAATAGAAAGAGGGTTAACAGAGACTACACTACTCTAAGCAACTATCTTGTAGCGCCTAATTGTCTCCTCATTCGTTGCTTCCACCTTCATCATCCTCAAAGTTAGTCTTCCGACTCATATTTAATTTGATTTAGAACAACAAACGTTCGAACTGGTAAAGATCCAAGCATGTACCTTACATTTTCTAACAACCAAAAACATTCGAAAAATGTGTTCAAACCTTTGATTTCTAGGAATTATATTTTTTTGAAGGAGTAAAATATTTCACAGATCATTTTAGTGGCGAGTCGAGTCCTACGAAAGTACTCAAGCATCCAAAGTCGCTCTCCATTCAATACTTCGTATTTCCATGAAACAATTTTCTGAACTATTGACTCTCTTATACCGCAAAATAATAATTTTCCTGTTTATAGTTGCATGCTAAACTATGCCCAACGTAAATAATTAGTATGGTTACCCTCATTAAACATATGTTAACCATCAACCATACGTTTAACCATCGCAATTGTTATCTAATGGCATACCATTATTATTACTGCAATTTTATATGTATTTGTATAGTACATATGTCTATAGAAAACATTTAGCTTTAATTTCAATCGAATCTTCTGAAAGCTCCAACCGCAGTGTTTTCTATTCAACAATTTTACTTCAAACATCCCCACATTTCCACTAAATCGCAACAAATCAACGTAATTATTTGCCATTGTTTGAGTGCTCATACTTTTGTGTCCTTATTCAGCCGCCCGACACATTTCCCAGAATTTGCATAGTTCGAGCGCTTTCATTGTTTACATGCATGTGCACCACTACATGCATAATTGTATAGTGTGTTTTAATCAGTTAGGCTTGCCCAGGTGAGTTTTCACCAGATCCCGACATATTAGATACATACATATGTAGTGTAGTAGCGATGCTAGGCACAAATAAAAACTAAACGGCGCTTTTGTACCGCAATAGAAATGTGAAATGCTTTGTCTCTAATGCTTACTTGTTTGTGGTTAATTTTTTGAAAACGCAATCATTTTTATCATGCCAAATGACTGCTGCATTTCAAGAGGGAAGAAGTAAGTAAGCTATCTTGCATTTTACTGTATAAGTTTTTCTTGTTTTTTTTTTTTAAGGTACAATGCTTTAAACTGATAAGAAAATCTGATATTGTTATATTAAATCTCTCCAACCTATAATAATAATGTTTTACTCAGGCACACCTTCAAAATTGATTTTCAAATTGCAATTTGCTTCAAAGTTAATTAATAATAAGGGTATAAATTTATTTAGAATAAATGTAAATAGCGTCTCAAGCGTTGTAATTTTTAATAATTTTTTGAAAAGTCATTTATTTTACCTTAGTTAAAATTATGGCTCAGAATGAAATATTCAACAGCAGAAACCAAACTTTTTCATCGTCAAACAAGTCCTCTGTCCTTCACGGTGCACTTAGTCTAAGGCCACCTGCTACCCGTAATAACAACAGGCGAGGGTAGATTAGGGATTAAAGCAAACGAGAATACGTTTCATAACGCGCAATGTGAGTTTCTACAGTAGAAAAGAGATTAGGAATAATATTAGGTTTATATAATAACCTTAGGTTTCTACTTAATTTTAAAACTCTAGCTTAGTTTGAGTACCAACAAAGACCAAAAATTTTAAAACACATATATTTATACCATATTATGTATGGTATACATATAAATTTTCCATGCAACCAAGTAAGCAAGTGTATAATCCCACTATAATATTCAAATAAAAACGAAAACTTCAGCAAAGCTGTGAATTACACTTTAGCTCTTTAAATACCTTTAATGAGCATAATTGTAATGGATAAAAAAATTCTGAGCACCAAAATTACCGGCTTGCTACAATACTGTAATGAATGTAAAGGAAAAAGAAACTTTCCCATCCACTAAGTTTGGTGATAAGCGCTTGAGTATATAAGTATGTGTATATGGAAAAAAGGGTAGAAAGGCGCCAGCAAACTTTTGCATCCGTAACTAACACGCGACTTATATAATATAAGTTCAAATGGATAAATGTTCGAATGCACGCATTTGAAAGAGTTGCTTTCGAGTTTTTACAGAAAACTTTTTATTTGACTTTCGAGGCTTGCGTAAAACTTATATTTTTTGAGCAATTTTTTGTGTCTCTTTGCGTGCTTAGCTTTGATGTTATGTGAAAATTAAAAAAAAAAGGAGTAAACTGAGCTAGAACCTACTGAACCATAAAAATGCATAAGTTATTTTATTCCCTTTCTGGTAATTTATACTTAATAAAAATAAGAACGTCGAGAGTTCATTAGATACAGTGTATAAAATTGAGAACATAAATCAAGTTTAAGGATGAGAATTAACGAAGAAAGTGTAAAAGGTCACTAGCTATTTACTTGGAAGCTATTAAAAAGTCATAGACAGTATACAAATATTTTAAAATTATTGAGGATGATGCTACGTAGTTAGGACTAATTGCTGTAAAATTCTTAAATGTGTGTGTAAAACAAATTCAGAAAAGATAATCATAATACAAAGAGCAGCAGAGACAACCAACGAACCTGTCTCGAAGAAGGCGAAGACTGTCTGATTGGCCGTATTCATCTTTACTGAGAACTACATCTACTACTTGGAGAAAAGCAGAAAGTTCAAAGAGCTCTACCTGCTGAATGGTTGGTCGAATTTACACATAAATCATATTTGCTTCACATATAATAAAATGTCAATCAAGTTTACAACTAATTTTATTTAAAAATATTATCTCATGCTTTTCTTTCATTTCTATTAGTTGTTTTATAAAAAAGTATGAGGCTTCTTGAGTCGTATATTTTTTTTTTGGGCTTCTCCTTCATTTCTCTAAGTTTTTCGAACCAAACATTGCAATGGTCGCCTATTTTTCTATGTCATTATGTTCCAAACCTTTTTTCAGGGCAGGACATTCGTGTCCAGAGTAGCTATTGCGAAATTTGAACTGTTTCTAACTGGCTCAGCATGCGCTGTTTATGGATAACATGTGGCACTGTTAAATTGGTTAGTAGCGCTAGTTAATGCTACATTGTTTGTAATCTGTGGAGGCGGTGGTAACGGTGTAGCAAGCAAATGTCAAATGTGCTTATTATCAAGTACTTCTAGCATTAATTTCTTTTTTTGTTCGACGTTGCTAATGACACCAAAAGTTTTCTGCACATGTGCCTTAGCCTGTCTTTGCTCCTTAACGTGATCTGCGCTTGCAAGTCTTCTGACGCATGCGCAATAGTGTTCTGATTTATTCTTAATGGATAAATTTTTATTTTTGTGTTAAAAAATGTTGTTGTAACCCCTCATTTTGGTTTTCTATAATTTACTATAATTTTAGAAAAATAAATAAATTGTCATTTGGACCATTCACAATAATAAAACTTATCTAAAATACGCAGAACAAGCATTCATTGCATTGAAGATAACGGCTGTACCATTATAATGAGATATCCGCATACTTTCTTGTACGAATTCAACTTTTTTGACAAGAGAGCAGAAGCGAGCAGAGAAATGGCAAATCGAATACAGCTAATATAATATTATAAGGAACACATATTGATTTGATTGATACCGAAACTAACGCTTTCGATACCACCTCGTCTGGTACAACAATAATATGAGTATCCGAACTTTAAATAAATACGGAAAGATTTTTTAGTAATTTTCAACAAACAAAAAGCACGCTCAGAGTAATCAATATGTCAGCAAATAAATTGCGAAAAACGCTTTTAAAACACCATATTCATAGCCTCCATAAATAAATATTTCGTTCAGTAATTACAGTTGCCACTACACAATAATTCGGAAAATATTTCCAATAATTTTTTATATGAATTATTGCACAACTTTATTGCTACTGTCTAAAGCTTTTTGCATTGTGCAATAAATCACACGTTCATCAACAGGCCTTGCAGTAATTATTTATAGCACCAACACGTGCATATAACGGTAAATTGTAATACTTCACTGAGCGACAGCTAACAATGCAGTTGACAAATTTCAATTGAATTTACATGTTTGCTTAGCTAAAAATCAAATAGCGACACACACACAAACCCAAATAAATATATTTATTTGGTTGGCGAACCGCAAACACTTTCGGAAATGGCAGTTTTAATGTAATTTTTCAATTGTGAAATTCAAATGTTTTCACATTGCATACATTATTGATGGTTGTGGCGAAGTGTTTTCACGTCAACACACACACAACTACACATTTACAGTTTGTAGGTTCAAATTTACGGTTGTAGGTCGTGATTACTGATTGAATGTGTGAACTCTACTCGATTTCACTAAGCAATTAAACTGGCAATGTGCATATATATATATGAATATATTAGGGTGTACCTTACTGCCTTAGTTAGTTTTTTGTTTGCAACCCTCCCCTGAAGTTCAAGTTTCTTTCCCATGTATATAACATGAAACTTTTGTTCTTTTGCATTGAACAAGTAAATCTACAACTTTTGGAATGTGATATTCTAATACAAAATTTTCCGATCTACAAAAAAGATTACCATACATACTGTGTTGCTCATACGACATGGTGTACTATATGAATGTTGAGTACATTTGATGTATATATAATTTCAAGTTTGTAGATTTATTTGCTTTGGAGATAAAAAGTTTATTAGAAAAAATTTAAAAATCGCATGTAAAATATTTGGAGAAAGTAAAATAAAGTGCTTGTTTACGTTGGATACGGTTTTTAGGGCAAAACCTGAAACTTCAAGCGGCGTCTGCACAACATAAACTTAAGAAATAACACACACCCTAATATATATATACATGCATATATAAATAGAATTGTGTTTACAGATACTCAAACACATTATTTCATATATGTAAGTTTTTGTGTTTATAATATTTACTCGTTTTTAGCACTTTTGCAAATTAAGTAAATTTTGATGACAGACAAGGTTGAAATATTTTAAGCAGTTATATGCTATGCTCGCATATGTGCATTCATAAACGCATAAAAATATATAATTTACAAAAACGAAAAATTCTTTTGTATATAAATAAAAATTTACACAACCTGACCACTTTGTTTGTGTGAGTGTGTTTATTGCTTAAAGCTTCTTTCAAAACAAGCAGTGCTATCATGTACCAACACACACATACAGGTGTATATGTAATTGTGCTTGAATATTCTTCATATTACTCAAAAAATTTCGCTCGAAAATTTTTACTCGAATGTAGGTCAGCTAACGCTTAACGAGTAGAGCATTATGTACCACACTTCAGGAACTTGAACTTAAAAAATATGGCAAAATACACTTGTTTATAGGAGCAGAACAATCATTGCGTATTTTAAATAATAATAAAAATGTATACACGCTTTATTTGCTGCGAGTCATCATGTATATGAAATAGTTGCCGTAAAAAATTCACAAATTCCTTCCCCAAAAAAAGGAATTTGAAAAAATAATTTTTTCAACATGTGGTTACATCTTCAATTATGAGTTCAAATAAATATTTACGCAGCAAATATGTTCATATGTGTGCGAGTATGTCCACAAAAGTCCACAACTTAATTTAAAGCAACCCAGCAGGAAATTTCACGCAAGCTGAATTTCGATTATTCTTAGTTATAAAAAAACGCCGTTAAACATATGTGTGACCATGTGGTTTCAAGAGTTACAAATTTCTTAAATATTAATGGAAAATATTGTTCGAACTAAATTTATGAAGTCGTTTTTATAAGCAAATTTACATGACTCACAAAAACACTGGTAACGTGTCAACGGTCAAAAATTCGAATACCAATTAATTTCTTTGCATCAATTTAAACATATTTCTGTATATGAAGTTCGGACGTGATCTGCTTTAAATAACTCTCGAACACTCTGAATTCGACATAATCGGCATTTGAGATCATGGTGGCTGGACCTGCTTTTTAGATAATTTCACATTTTCCATGCGGTATTATTCCCGCTTTGTAGAGAATACTAAAGTTGCATGAACGTCCATTGTTATTAAAATTTTGCTTCAGTTCTTGTATCCAAGGAAAAGGAAGCTGGCGTATCTTTCAATAGATTTATTCTACATCGACCACTACATAGGTTCCCACGACAGTCGACTATATATACACAATATATTTTCACAATAAGAATGCGTTGCTCGATACTGAACCGCTTCATGTCTACAAAATGGAAAAACGTCAAATGATCTTCTAATCGGAATGATAATAGATAATGAAAATGATAAGAACGGTGCTGACAATCTTCAAACTAAAAAATCCCGCCCAATTTAAAAACTGCGTACTTTATGAAACACCCTATATAATCCTAAAGGGTTGTAAATTCTGTCCGACCAAGACCTATCAGCTCAAACTATTGGCAATACAAAGTAAATTGGTTGTATATCATATATTCCAAATATTTCAAAGTTATATATATTTAAATTCTAAGCATATCAATTTGTTGCTCTTTCTACGGATTTGCATATCTGATAATATGTTTCAACTCACGCGGTATAAAATATTTGGTATCTGTAATCATCGATATTCTTTGATTGCGCTTAGCTGCCAATTTT